AACGTAATCGTGGGACAGGGAGACGGGCAGGCCCAGGTTTGCGGATTGCATCCACTGGCCAGTTACTGAGAGCAGAATGCCACTCGTTTGAGTTCAGTAGAAAAGAGACGGCAACCGTGAGCATGCCTGGTATTAAAAAAGACTTGGCTGCTGTATTCATTCCCACCAGTAGATCGTTGAGCATCAAGGCACTGGGTCCAATTTCACCCACTTCACTTCTTATCGACAGGACAGGAAATTACTGTGGTTCTGTGCAATACTCGCACTGCTCCAACAGTGAGACAATTGCCCTGCCCCTCTCGAGTGACGCAAGACCGCATGCCACTCCTCAGGACAGAGAGAACGGATGGAGATGGAGGGGGTAGAGGGAGAAATAATACCTTGCCAAATATAGCCTATTCCCTTCATAGATGTTTTTCAATCTCCAACTTTCATTATTTGTCCCTTCAGTGGAAATGGAGGTGCAGGTTCACTCGATAAAATCCCTCCCAATCCTGCGACAGCCAGTCAGCCAACTCCGTAGTCGGGAAGGATGGCGGACAGTTGGTGGTCAATGACGAAGCTTGGAAGTTGGCCAAGCAACTTCCAGCCAGAGAAGTTAAACAACATTGCAGGGCGGTAGAAGTGGTTTTCCAAATTATTCTTGGGCGTAAATGAAAACAGCGATGAAATCAATTGTGGTGACAATATCTGCAGCCTAGGTGAATGTCCGCTTCTGTGGCTAACCCGCAAGCATTCTAGAAGGTCGTACCCTCCTTCAGTTCCTCTTGATTAGCCTCAAGCACGCTACTACCCAGCGCATCGGCAAGGTCATTCAGGTACCACAAATCTGAGAGAATGACAGAGCCCGCTGTTTCTTCGCCAGACTCCACTGGCCAGCCATCTGCCACACACGTACGACAAGGCTTATTCACACTAGACGATACACGAAGGCATTTGTGTTGAGGTCTTTCTCCGCTGTCTATCCCACTTGAAACCCCAACACGACTCAGGTCCACACTCAGGACGACACCAGTCCAAAAATCCACTTTTTAGCCCAGTTACGAACAAGTGGTCTGGTTTGCAGAAAAAATCGGTTTTTTCGTTGTGCTTGTCCAACAGCCAGACCCACTTGCCATGTGATTCCAAACACAACTGACGCGATGAAGTACGAGTACCCTCTTGCCATGATCATCGTCGTGGTCTAATCGAATTGTTCTATAACTACCGCTAAAAATGACGTTGTGTCTTAAATGCTTCCAGCTAATCGTGTACTAAAGGCGACTCCGGTTATGTTGTTAATTCATCATCTCGTGGTGTCTCCAGCCTTTCCTTTGTTTCAGTACTTTTATTAGTGATACAACAAA